ATAATGAGTTCTTTTATGAATCTTGGTTAGCAATGTGCTTATTGGGGAGGTGTCTTAATCGGGAACCTTAGTTGCCTGCTGAGAAAAATTTCAGCAACCAAGTTTCCTCAGACCAGCCTCTCCTTCCTCCTTTTGACCGATATTCAAACCATAATTTGATTTACAAACCATAAGTTTCTCCTACAGTCCAATGTCCTTCGTTAACAAGTTTCCAAATCCTAAAGTCAGGCATACCCATTTGTAGACCAACCCTACGTTATTTGGTCTGCTTTACAACAAAGAGACCAAACTTATAAGTAAAGAAACCAAACACTTCCTTCAAGACAAAACCTAACTGAAGTGGTCCAGAGACACATCGTTACAAAGACAAAACAAACCTAATATCATTTGATACCAACAGTAAGATTAAGCAGTGGAAGAAAGGAAAAAGATACAGCAATAAATGCAAGACTACTGGAGCAAAATTGGAGGGGAAAACTTATATATACCTGCATGGGCATTGGTGAAGGAGTGTTAAAGAAAGATGAACCAGAACTGCCATTTACAGGCTGACCAGAAGCTCCTCCCAAACTAATATGAGAATTTCCAGACATATCTCTTATATTATTTCCTTGAACATGTTTGAATTGTCTCTGGCTAACATCTTCGGAGCTAAAGTTCCTACCAGAAACTAAACTGCAGTCCTCATTCAGGGTAAGTAAACTTTGAGAAGCTAATCCATGATGTAGATACTGTTTTTGTATGGAAAGAACAGCAGCTTCACCAAAAACTACAGCTGCTTCTTCAGCAGAGCCTGAAACAAAGGAAAATATAAAGCTCAACTTAAATATGCATCTGAAGGCACAAAATCACCATAAATAATCAACACAGAAGTTTTCGATTTTGTAAAACCATTGATTAACCAGTTGCCGAAATACCATATTGTTTTCTAAGATGCCATAATTTTATCAATAAAAAACATCAAAAGTAAATTGTGGACAAGGGTGCCACTCTGAAATTACATTCATAAAGAACAAAAAGCTCTAATCTGCCTAAACTATCATTTTCATGTATGTAACACTGTACAGACCTAATACGCACAGTTCTTCATATGCAGCCCACATACAAGGATCCATAGTCAAAGCCTGCTTAAAGTGATGGATGGCACTTTTCCTTCTGTCAGTATACCTAGAACAATACCAATAATACCAATTATAAACAATAAAATCATGAGAGGCATGCATCGCACATATAAATCTGATAGAGGAACAGAAAATGGGCATAATCATACAATCCAGCACACAAAAACTGTAAAAACGCAAATAGATACTTAAGCAGTTGCAAGATGATACACTACAAGTTCCACCAAAAGGGAGCAAACCTAACTTAATATAACACAACAAAGTCCTCCATCCCAAGAAACATGCAAGCAGAGAGATAGAGGATCAGTTTAAAAGAGGAAACTCTGCCTAACACTACTAGGAGGAAGAAGATTCAAGCCTTAAGACCACAGAAGATATTTCTTGTAGGAACAACAACACTACTACTACTATTCACTTATATTACATGCGCATATGTTTTATTTGGTACAGCCTCATAAAAATAGATTATGTCAAGCCATCATCACAAGCAAATCCATTTCAAGAAACTTATAAAGTATCCCTATAACAAAGGTAATGCATATACAAAAGCTCCAGAAGACAGGGGACAAACCTGTATATAAGCCCCAGAAGGTAATGACCAGCTGCACCATTTGGAACCTACCAAAGGAATAATGAGCAAGTCATCACTGTTTAGACCACATGAACAGGCTGAAAACTGAATACCAATAACAACATTTGGAACACTAAGCAAAGATTACATAATGTTTAAGGGGTACATGCCATTCCTTTCAACCCAGTTTATGTTGAAAAAAGTGAAATATGTTTTAGGAAGCAAGACTTGAAAAAGTAAATATGTAAGCTTTACTTTAAAATAATGCTCCAAAGAAAGATAGATTTCAATACCTCTGCACCAGGCTCATTAGCAGGACATAATGCTGCTTCTGCTTCACCAAGAAGATCCATCTGAAAGCATGATATCGCAAACAAGTAGCGGGATTGAGCCACTTGTGTTCCTTCACAAATCAACATAGAGACGAAGAGAGGTCCATGTGCATGAGAAATACTATGATGAAAAAACAATAACTTGAACCAAAAACCGGAATTGAATGTATACTCGGACAGTATGTGATATGACTTGCTTACCCTTTAAAATATGGTATGCAGCATAAGCTTGATTGCTTTGCAAGTAACAGCCAGCTAACAACTGTAAATTCGTCTGCAATATAACAAACTTCATGTCAACTTTCGAAAATCCCATAACCGATCGGATTAATGCTAACAAAAAGAGCAGCACTGTAGACACTAAACCCCTTTAAGAAATCCCATTGTCAAAAAGCTCACACCTTCATCCTTCACTCCAAAAGAGCTACCATAAAAAATTTCCATCCACAGCTCCAATAATTCAAAGTTCATAAAAAAAAATAATTAAAAAAAAAAAAAACGAAGGCAAGTAATTAACCTTAAAAGAGAGCATTTTTTGCCAGAAAAAAGAAAATGTGAACTCTGGGTAAATACAAATATCCGAAAAATTCGAAAGCAACAAAACCCTAGGTCTCAAATTACAGAACACTGAATTACTCAGGTATGAGTAAATTCCTCACGAAATGACAGGTAAATTAAACACGATGCGTCGATCAAGATAACAGAAGCGGTACGTTCCCCCAAACACTAGAAAAAAGAAGAAATTTCATTCCGGATACGCCATAGTCCTCGTTTTCTCTTTCTTTCCTGGAATTTTCTCGGCAACCAAACAAGCAGGCGATGAAAGGAGAGAGAGTGAAAGAGTGGGTGGAAAAGAGGTACCTCGGAGGGGAACTCGGCGCAGAGGCGTTCGCATACGAAAATGGCGTTTCGGTGCATGAAATCGCGGAGACTGTGCTGGACACAGTCTCGGAGTATCGCTTCCATGGCTGCTGGTTCTGATTCGGAGAGGCGAGAGAGGGGTTTTGGCTTTGGGTTCAAAACAGGGCGGCACGTGTGATCTCCCGATTTCAAATCACGCGTTAGGCGACATTGCTTTCCGTTTTATTTATTTTTTTTTCCTTCTCTTTTTCTTTGATTTCAAAATTACGTCCCAAAACGAAATAAAGCAAAAAGCGGATAATCTTGCAACGGTCAAGAATAAAGAATTTGTTAGTTATTTCACGTATTTGATTTGAATTGGATTGTGGGTTGTATATTGTATATTGTATTTTAAGGAGAAGGGGATAATTCAGATCCGAATTATTTATTTCGTACATGTTGATAAGAAGACGTTATTATTTTTACTATAAAAATAGCTATAGAACGGTAATTTTGCTATTTTAAAATTATTTTATGATGATGTCCACATAAAATTAATGAAATCCCAACGGTATTGGTTTTTGTGAAATGATTTTAAAACGATAGAGGATTGTTTGTGATATGTTGCAAACATGAGAGAATTTTGTAAAAATACAAAAAAAACTTCATGAGGTGCACTATTTTAAAATGTCCCTTCCCGATTTTGGGCAAGGCGTTTGGAAAAATCGGCTGGAAGCTAGGCGGCTCCTAGGCAGAGAGCTAGGCGGCCCTAGTCGGTTTTTTTTATATTTTTTTATTAATTATGTGCTTTTTTCTTTTTTGGTTTCATCGTGGTATACTTATAGAAATGGTGTACCTAATTTGCAAATGATGGATTTAGTACAAGTTCATCCAATACTCATGGAAATGGTGTACCTAATTTGCATTTTATCATTATTTTAATATCCATACAAGTATAGTTTTTTTTTAGGTGTAAATAGGTACTTATTTACAAGATATATAATAAATTTACATAAATCCACCTAGGCCGCCTAGAAGCCCATCTAGGCCCCGTCTAGCCGCCTAGGCATTAGGCCCCGTCTAGCCGTCTAGGCGCTAGGCCCCTTCCTGCCGTCCAACTAGCGCCTAGTGATTTTTGAAATCTTGATGAGGTGTATGTGTATTTATATTAACTTATCTACTTCGAGCATCTTAACTTTCATAAGTTTGTATCTAACTTGAATTTTCGCTAATCTGAAATTCTATAATCCGATTTTTAATTAAATCAAACTTAAAAATTTATGCCTCCAACGAGTTCCACCATTTTATGTGTAGGATTGAAGATATCCACTTCAACAACCAATAAGCACTTGAGAGACACTCCTCGACCGAACGTTGAAGATGTTAAAAAGGTGAAAACATTATTCGAGAAAAAGAAAAAGAAAACAAATATGTTCAACCAACCGTATGGATTTGTCTTCAACTTGTTAATTATTATTGCATAGTATACATATTTGATTGGTGTGAAGTTTTATTAGAAAAGATTTTTGATAGCTGAGTTGGGTGAGAATATTTGAACTCTTATTTTCTTTCTTAATCTACCGATGTGGTATTTGTTAACACACTTCTTTACGGTAGACCCAATGAGTGAGTTACATGTAAAAAATTTATACATCAGCAACTACATGAAGTTAAGAAGACTCACTCAACACGTGGGGCCAAACGACCCACCATGCGCCCAAAAGGACCCCATCACATGGAATTACGAGCGTGGAACTAATACCATGTTAAATTATTAAAGAGACGGGCTAAATCTCAACTTCCAACAACATCAATCTATATCCAACTTGTTAATTACCACTTATACAATTCGGCACGTGTGAAATTTTATCATAAAATACCTTTGTAATATTTTCTCTTAAATTTTTTTACCGTCCAATCAAATAATTAAAGGAAAACTAATGAAAAAAACTTAAACTTTGAGTTTTAATGATAAAGACAAAATAAAAGTAAAATGAATAGTATCAGAATTGATTTTTTAGTGTAAAATTATGATTTTTCGTTAAATAAACAATAGCGTCAGTTTTTCTTTAAAACTCCTAATAATTAAAGGGGATTAAAGGTCTGAAATTAAATGGTAAAAATGGTGTGCGGAGCGGAGCGCCACCTGAAACAAAAACCAACGAAAAAAAAAAAAAAGCGCAAAACGCAACCTAGCGAATACCGTTCACTTCAATGGCCGACCAGACTTTAGCGCCACCGCCGGATCCGAATCCCGAAGAGCACGACGATCAGACGGCGGGGGATAATTCTTCCTCGACGGTCCTCGACCTCACCAGCTTCCAGCTCCATGACCTCGACTCGGTCGAGTTACCGCCGAGTCTAACTGAGTTAGACCTAACGGCGAACCGCCTCACCATCTTGGACACTCGGATTGCGAACCTCTCCAACCTCAAAAAGCTCTCACTCCGTCAGAACCTCATCGATGACGCCGCCGTCGAACCGATCTCCGGCTGGGACGCCCTCTCCGGTCTCGAGGTAAATAAAATTAAAACGTGATTCACTTGGCGGTTGTCTGGTTCCCGGGAAAATAATTAAATGTGATTTTCGTGGCGGTTTTGTTTGGTTCCCTGGGAAAATAAATTAAAATGTGATTATCTCGGTGGTTTGTTTGGTTCCCGGGAAAATAAAATTAAATGTGATTTCCTTGGCGGTCTGTTTGGTTCCTGGGAAAGTTAACAGTTTTGAGGAATGCAGGAGTTGGTGCTGAGGGATAATAAGTTGGGGAAAATACCAGATGTTAGCATATTCACGAAGCTTCTGGTTTTCGACTTTTCTTTCAACGAGATTACGTCGTTACATGGATTGTCCAAGGTCACCAGTACCCTCAAGGAGCTCTACGTGTCGAAAAATGAAGTTACCAAGATTGAAGAAATTGACCACCTCCATGAGCTTCTGATTCTCGAGCTTGGTTCGAATCGATTGCGGGTTAGTTCTCTTGAGCATTTGAGATTATGTACGTGGAAATTATTGATAATGTAGCAAAACTAGCATCTGGCTTGGTATGATTGTACGATGAAATGCGGAATCAGGTGATGGAGAGTTTGCAGAACATGACAAAGTTGCAGGAGCTGTGGCTGGGGCGGAATCGAATTAAGGTGGTGAATTTGTGTGGGTTGAAATGCATCAAGAAGCTGAGCTTGCAGAGCAATCGGTTAACTTCAATGACGGGATTTGAGGTAAATGATTGGTTTACCGTGATTTGTTTGAGGCAGAAATCTCAAGTGCATTTGTTTTATAAATATTGAAACTTTCTATCGCTCCACCTTTTGTAGGAGTGTGTTGCTCTAGAGGAGTTGTACTTAAGCCATAATGGTATTTCGAAAATGGAAGGCCTCTCAACGTTAGTCAACCTACGTGTCTTGGATGTATCGAATAATAAGCTAACATCGGTGGAGAGTATTGAAAACCTTACAGTGTATGTTTGGACCCCTTTGTCGCTATTCGTTTGATGTTGTTTTGTCTTGTCTATTCTACCCTTTAATGGGAATCTTGTGTTATAGGTTAGAAGATCTATGGCTTAATGACAACAGCATAGAGACAGTTGAAGGCTTTGCCGAGGTTGTTGCTGGTTCTAGAGAGAAGCTCACTACAATCTATCTCGAAAATAACCCATGTGTATGTTTATCCGTAACTTGCAGACGTGATATATAAGTTTTACTATCGTATTCTTTCAACATGCTTAGATTTGTTTAAGGAAGTTTAAAAGTAGTGTGTTCATAAATGCTAAGTTGTATGCTAGAGTTCATGCAAGTCTCATGCTTTAAGTGTAGTGGCGAAATGCACATGTTCATCGAGAGTGCAATGTCTGGGTAGAGAAAAAGGGAAAATCCCGTAGGCTAAATTAGCTATAATATTTATACATGTTTATATCTTCTAGGGTTTCATGTGCAGTAGTATCATGAAGGCAAACCATACTAGGTGTCTATGAACCGGTGTATGGTAAATGATTGACAAGAGTTCTTACTTTCTAGTAACGAAGAAGACTGACAAGCACTCTTCCTATTAAAGACATACATATATATGTGATTGGTTCTACATCTTCCTTGTGTTGATACGATATTTTATGTGTGTTGGCAAATGTCTTTCATACACTTTAAGATTAGTAATATTTGGTCTTTCATCTCCTATTTCAGGCAAAGTCTCCAAACTATGCTACTGCCTTGAGACAAATCTTCCCAAACATAGAGCAAATTGATTCTCATGTATTTTCTTAAAAAGTTTTTATGGCTTCAACTCTCTCAACATAATTATCATGAAGCACTCAATGTACAAAACCGCGATGTAGGTATTCTTTCTCGACTATTTATGCTAGCCCAGTTATTCTAGCACTGCCTCCTTAAAATGAACTTTTATTTGTAATATTCTTCTCATGGATGTTGTTCGCAGGCAAACTGTGGTTTTGGAGGCGGCTTCCGGAGTGCTGAATTTCAAATGAATAGAGATAAATTGCTAAACCATGGATGGCTCAAGAACTCACTTGGAAAATAATTAAAACGATCTTTTCGTGTTGTTTACTGAAGTTGTTTTGTGTTATTTAAACAACCCTCCTCTTACTCTTTTCCATCTCCTCGTACCGAGTTTAGGCGTGTAATACATCATTTTTGGATGCCAAGTGATAAGGTGCTTTTTAACTTACAGCTTTAATAACAGTTTTACTTCTCCATTAACCTCCACATTCCCATTTCGTTGTTGATCTATAAAATGGTGCACAATCGTACGTTACGTTGCAGTCAGTTGCGTACGTTGCTGCAGTCGCCATTGAGTATTCGCAATGTTTTGGTGTGCCTCCAACTCAAATTGCCGATCGCAGAGATCGCAGGAAATTTTGCATAAGTCGCATGAGCAACGCATATATCACAATTTCTCATGCCAATCATGCACTGGCGAACACAAAGAAACATAAGTAGGGATGATACAACGACATCTCACAAATACAAGTACGACGTTTATTGTCACAGTCTTAGGCAGTCAAATTCTGTCGAGAACTGAAGTGCCAAAATCATAGGCAATCCACAAAACCGAAATAGATATGTAACTTCAAAGAGTTAATACAAATCAACTTTGAAAATTGCAGTTTAGAACAGCTTAGCGACCCTCTTTCGAAGCCAATACGAGATCTGCTGGAGCCGCCTTCATAGCCATCTCTCATGGAAGACCCGGCACTTGCTCTCATTGTCCCTCCTGTTCCAACCTTATCGAGGGCTTTCTTGCCGCCCTTCTTCACCTCTGTCAAGAACTGGTCAAGACCAAATGGATCGGCTTCTTCAACAGCATCCTTCTCAAACTCGACCGGTCTATCTCTTGGCCCTGCCCTCTCAGCAGCTCCTCCAAATCCTCTGTCGGGTTTGAAGCGATCAGTCTTCATAATCTTATCCAACTGCTCATCAGCGCCACCATACATTTCACCATCAACATCCTTCTTAGGCCTGTATAGAGTTGAGAGTGTCGGCTGAGCAGTAAACAAGCCCTTGTCATAAACATTGTACTGGTCATCAGTGGCAAACCCTGAGTCCATTCCTTTCTCCTGGTTGAATAGCCTCTGATCATACATAACCTCTCCCCCTTTGCCTGCTCCCGCTAGAAGCCATGCCAAGGGCAACTTTCTCACTAATATCACGATCTCTATCTCTCGTAATTTTACTTTTCTTCCCCATTGCTACATCTTTGGCCTCCAACCTTCTCTCCCTTTCCCTCTCTTTGCGCCGCTCCTCGCGAATCTTCTCCCGCCGCATCTTTTCTTCTCTTTCCTCCCTTGTCTCCTTTGGATACTCAGTTTCCTTTTCCCTTGTTGGACGCTCATAATCCCCTCTAATATCAGTATCCATGGCTGTTCTATCAGAAGCCATTGGAACGGCCGCAGGGGGTGCAGCACCTGTTCTCTCGGAACGAGCTTTCTGTGCTAATGCCCTCAACTCCTGCTCTTTCTTTTCCTTCTCCTTCATCAACATTTCCTTCTGAACTTTAGATCTCATAGCAACTGCCTCTCTAGCCTTCTGCTCCGCTACATACAAAGACTCAGAGAGCTTTGCAAAATTATCATTGATCTGAACATCTTGAAGGCCTCTCCCATCAGCTGCAAGACGTTTGTCCAATGGAATTGTATACCCCTTCGGGTTCTTCCAGTTTGAAATGCAAGGTGGAATTTTCCAATCCTGTTGGTCTTTCACAGTCACCGGTCGAGGAGGGGAATGCATGACCGGCACAGGTGGGGATCCAGAAGCCCTTGGTACACGCTTATGCTTGAACTTAGGAGGCTCAAGTGGATCCACAGGCATCTCCATCATCCTGATAATCCTCTCCTTGGCACCAGAATTAAATGCCTCCGATTTCTGAGACGGTTTATACTTGATATATTGCGATTCTGACGACTGCTTGGCCACATTTTTCGGCTGTGCAGCACTCAATCTCACATTCACAATCTTCTCAAGCGCAGCCTTTGTTTCTGCCGTCGTTTCTTCAATCACCTTCTGCTCCTCCTCATCCTCGTCCTCTTCCATCTCCTCTTCCGCATCCTTCAAAATTTTTGGCACAATATCCTTATGTTGAGAATACACAATCTTTCTCGAGTTCTCATTCTGTTTAACAATGGCATCATACGCAATCTCCCCATTGGCATCAACTGAAACCGGAAGAATTTTTGTCCCAGGTTTCGACACCTTGTCCCGGCCCATGCCAAGAGGGTACTGAGCTATGTGAATCTCCGGGAAAGCGCCACCTTCCCCGAAGTCCTCCACCTTCCTAGGAACAAAGCCTTGGCGCTTCAAGTACTGAGGCACAGGATTAGGTTTAACGACAGCAGCAGATCTTTCCGCCTCGGAAGAACTGAACCGCTGCCGGAACCACGGATCGCTCGAGTGGTCGTAGTATGTCGTTGTGGATGCCGTTGGCGGCGGAATCAGCTCCTTCAGAGACGTCATGGCGATAAATCTCCCCTTCTTCCAATCCCAAACTGTTCCAATCGAACAAAAACCAGAATAAATACAAAAATAAAAACCTTCGAAATACAAAAAATAAACAAAGCAATCGAATTCATAGATTCTAATCAATGCCCAATCAGATTGAACTCATATTATTCAAATTAACAATAAAATATTAATCAAGCAAGCACTAATTTAAGATTAATTTACTCTGAGAACGCGATTAGAACATGAATTATGAAAAACCCTAACCTTCGAACAGGAGAAAAATAACAACTGAATTGGGAAAAATAAATAGCCGAGGGAGAGAATCGAATGCTAACCTTATTGCCAGCAGAAGGGTTTCTGAGCTTTCTGTGTTGGTCGAAGAGGGCTTTGTGAGATTGGGCGGTGGTTTAATCGATCGATGGAGACAAAGGGAAATGGCAAATGGCTGCTTCCTTGTATATATAAATGGTCAATTTCACTAATAGTCCCTGTGATTATTTGGATTTCATTTTTGTCCCTATAGTTTTTTCTATTATAATTTTGTCCTTAAATTTATAGTTTTGTTTTCACTTCAAATAAGTTGATATTTTCATTCATTTTTTGTCCACATTTTCATTTTTTTGAAAAATCTAGTTGGGGGCAACGAACTTGTAGCTTAGTTTGATAAAAGCATTCATCTTTACTTGCTGTCTTTATTTCGATTTCTCCTTCCCCTTTCTTTACTCCCTAAAAAATTAGAGTTGTAAACGTTATGGTCTTTGCAGAAATAATGAAATTATAAGGATGAAAATGAAACAACGAACGTCAAAATTAAGATAAAATACAAAGACGATTAGTGTAATTTAGTTGTAGAATTATATAAGTTTAGTATTTCTTTTTATTTGGAGACCAAGGGTTAATATACACCTTGGTGACACATAATGTACTTTCTATGTTTTGGACACAATGAAAAATTATAATTTTTTTTATCAAATGATGGATTTGTTACATTAGATGTTAGATTAGGGAGTCGACGGAGTTCAAACTCAAGCCGTGATGCAAAAACAACACTCATCTCAACTACTGTGGTAAAAAGTCACTTGCACTCTCAAAATTTTAATTGACTCACTCCAATATTGGAACACCTATCAACATTACTTTCTCCAAAATATCAAGACTGAAAGCGTTTTTTTATAAAAGTGAATTCTAATGCTTTTAGAATCAAAAGTAATTTTGGCAAAATGCTTATTTTAAAAGCAACTTTCAAATAAGTCCAACATTTACATTGCCTGACTACATTTTCTTCGTCTGTACAGCTCGAAAATCTCATTGTGATTTATAAAAACTTAAAGCCATACCTCACAATCCATAAAATAAAGTCATACCTCACATTTTTTTTGTTATATATTTACTCGTACAAACTATTTCCACTCCCCTTCATAAAACCTCCTTCATCTCCTCTCTAATACTCATTCACTCCTTTCTAATTTACCTAAACAGAAAATTATTCAAGATTAACATTGTGTATATGCAGTTGATACATCGTTAACATTTAATTGATATGCTTTGGTGTCTTATCAATATAACGTCACACTATAAAAAAAATTATCCTAAAAACACGTGATAGTAAATTCATGTCTACTGCTCTATGTATTCGAGTAAACAAACAATCTCAAAACTTTTACAGTGTGAAATACTCAAGGATGCAATTGTGTCAATGAACGAATGAGGAGCTCAAACTCGAATACTAACGACATAAGGATCTGATAATCGTAACAACCCTACAAATAATACAACCCAAAATCAACCCGAGTTAACCTGAATTGACTCGACTTATTAGGTTATATTCATATTTCCTTTCTAACCCGACAACCCGATTAACTCGAGCCCAAACAATGAATTGCACAACTACCCGTTAAACCCTACTCCACTTATCGTATCACGCCACGTGACATACTGCGTAGCAATAAACCAATCACGAGCTTTTGCTCTTTTTGCAATGTCCCCAATTAACTCTAACAAAATGCCACGTATATATGCGCAAAAGACACTAACCTCATTTAATTTAATATTGAAATAATAATTAATAGAAAGATAATGTTAATGAGATGTTAATTCTTTGAAATTTAATGTGTATTCAATTAATATTTCAAGTGATAATATTCAATCAAGATTTTAAGTGATTCTCTTAAATTTATTGTGTATTCAATCATGATTTTAAGATAGTTTATTAAAATTTTAGAAATCAGAGTGTATTGAATTAGAATTTTAAAGAAATTTATAACATTTCAGATGTATTCAATTATAATTTGAATTTAATTTGTCAAAGTTGAGGAATTAGAGGGAATTGGAGAGATTTTGTAGTGTATTTTAAGCATCCACATATCTCATCTCTTATCACAAAATTTATAGAGAATTGAATAAAAAATATACATAAAATATCTACAAATCAATTACATTCTATAAAAATCTATAGATTTATGAATCTATCAAAATCTCTCAAATTATGTCGCCAACATTATCCTTAATAATACTATTGAATCCGTAAAACACAAGGATACCTCTTTATTATTTATATATCAGGGGTATTTTCGTCTTTCCAAATTCAAGTTGTCTCTTCTCTCTCTCTGCATAGAGCGACAAAGTCTTCTCCCCAACTCGGTTTAGTCACTGCCCCGCAAAAGCCCTTCCTTTCCTCAGACCTCAGTCTCCTCCATCGGTCTTCCAAAAGCTCGGAGCTTGATTTGGCCGTCAATGGCGGCCTCGCAGACCTCCAACGGGACGACCTTGAGGCATGCTTTCGGAAATGTCCTTTCCTTCTTCATCCTCATCCTGATCGGCGTTCTCGCATTTTCGATCCGGCTCTTCTCTGTGAGCCCTTCGATCACTGTCTTTTCTCCAGTTTGTGTAGATCTATCTCTTATTGATATCAAAATCAGGTGGTGCTCGTTTGGCAGCCTAGAAAATGCATCAGTGTTGACATTATTTATCTATTGATGTACATATATATGGATATTATAGTGCAAATCATACAACTTTACAATTGATTCTACTCTTGTGAATTATCGAACCAAATGGTGTTTCGTATCAGTTTGCCTTTGTGTTATTCTGTAAATTGTTGTGTTCTAACTGTTGTAACTTTGAATTTTTATCATTCGTAATTACATTTCTCAGTAATCAAAAGGAGGGTATCTTGTATTTGTATCGTACTCATGTTTGTGTTTCGGTGTGAATTAATCTACAGGTCATAAAGTACGAGAGTGTTATTCACGAGTTTGATCCTTACTTCAATTACAGAGTCACTCAGGTTTGGTTTCTTTATCATTTTTTCCGTTTAATTCAAGTTTCGGTTGTCTTGCGCCTAGAAGTTATAAGCTGAATACGTTGGCATTGCTTTTGATCAAACATATTTGAAAGTTTTGAATTTTACTGTCAGAGCATGCGCAGATTCATCTTATTATATTGTAATGGAATATAATTTCTGGAACTGGTTTGATGACAGCTTTCTTTGTTGGTTTCAGTTTCTGACGAAGAATGGAATATACGATTTTTGGAACTGGTTTGATGATCGAACCTGGTAATTTCTGATTTTTCTGGCTTTTCAAACTTCATGGCAGGGTTACTGTTTTGATTTCCTTAGATTACATAATTCAGCAATCTGAATTTAAACTTTCTTGACATTACATTCTAGGTATCCTCTTGGTCGTGTGATTGGTGGAACTGTTTACCCTGGATTGACCTTGACCGCAGGATCCCTATGGTGGTGAGTATGACCATTTATAATAGATATGCTAGAAAGAAATTTCTTTTCTTCTGAATTTTAACTACTGAGTATGAGTTCCCCACAACCCTAAGGGAGAAAAGGAAAGGGACCTACTTGACAATGATTCCTATTTTTGCCGATATTTATGATTTATTTCTCTCTTATATCAGGTTTTTGAATTCTTTGAACATTCCTCTTTCTGTGGAAACTATTTGTGTATTTACTGCGCCTATATTCTCTGCTTTCACATCATGGGCGACTTACCTTCTGACTCGGGTTTGTATTCATGCCTTAGTTATTTTTGTAGATTTTGGTTATCTTCCTCCAATTTCTTGATGGTGTTCAATTGCCTCTTTCTTCAGGAAGTTAAGGGTGCTGGTGCTGGACTAACAGCTGCAGCTCTTATAGCCATGGTAAATTACAATAGCGGGTATTTTTAACTCTACAACATATGGACATGGTAATGCAAATTCTTAACTGCCCTTTATTATGTTTTCATTTGTAGGTCCCATCATATATTTCTCGTTCTGTGGCTGGAAGCTATGACAATGAAGCTGTGGCTATTTTTGCTTTGATCTTCACTTTCTATCTATATATAAAGGTTAGGTTTGGTAAAAGACAACTTTATTTTATTCTGTTAGGTGCATGGTTGTTTCAAAGAATGATCTGATTCTGATGATCTGATTCTGTTACCATTGAGTAGGATCACCTTATGAATTTGTTTCTGATGGATCTTCATTAGTATATACTATATATATTACAGGGATTATGTTTAATGTGCTTCAATATCTTCTGATTACATTATGCAATATATGCAGACACTGAATACAGGATCCCTCTTTTATGCAACTCTTAATGCCATAGCATACTTTTACATGGTAAGTATATGTTCTAATGTTGTTTGTGCTTTTGTAACCTTACATTTTCTGTCAAATTTATGTTTACTTGCATTTGTTTCATTGCTTCAGGTTTGCTCTTGGGGAGGCTACACATTTATTATTAACCTGATTCCAATGCATGTGCTTCTCTGCATTGTAACTGGTCGCTACTCATCTCGTTTATACATTGCATACGCTCCTCTTGTAAGTATCCTCAGCACTGACGATGCTATTTTTTTATTGAAAGCAGGTGGAACATGCATTTGGCGTTAAAATTGAAGAATGCATACTAACATTCTTGCGCTTTGTTAGTTTGTAGCTAGAAATACTAGATGAAAAAGAATGGTGACTATAAAATTGATACATTTAAATGACCCTTGGTTCCTATTGAAATCGTAGCTTTGCTAATGTAGGTGGTCTTAGGAACATTGTTAGCCGCTTTGGTGCCGGTAGTTGGATTCAATGCAGTCATGACATCAGAACATTTTGCATCCTTCTTGGTAAGCATTTCCCAACTTTCTTTTCTTATTGACTTTTCATTTTCTGATACTGGAGCATGTCTTAGCTTTTGGTTATTTTCAAAACACTTGTAAAAGACGTCCTCATACTGAGTTAATAAGGTTCTGAAGATGCTAGTTCACGTCTTTGTATAAGTGTTCTTTTTTTTGGACTGAGCCACTTATAAAGTTAAAAGAGCTTGGTTTTCATTAAGCAGTTTTAAAGTATATGGTTGCTCTTTAATGGACTTGGATAATTCTTATAGAAGGTTAGCAAATATGTAGAAGCTTTGCAGTTAGTAGAACTTAAAGAAGGGATTGCCTGAATTTGGAACTAATTAGAAGCCTGTTTTC